GGTAGCTTGGAGGGGCTTTGGTAGCTTGGAGGGGCTTTGGTAGCTTGGAGGGGCTGCGGTAGCTTGGAGGGACTTTGGCAGCTTGGAGGGACTTTGGCAGCTTGGAGGGGCTGTGGTAGCTTGGAGGGGCTGCGGTAGCTTGGAGGGGCTTTGGTAGCTTGGAGGGGCTGCGGTAGCTTGGAGGGGCTGCGGTAGCTTGGCCGTCAGTGCCGTGGTCTTGTAAACCTGAAGCTGCAGGTTCGAGCTCAGGTTGTCAGGAAGGTGTAAAACAATTGCCAAATTTTTCATGCGAGTTTGCTTGTTGTGGCAACCCCTGAAGAAGGAAGAAGCTGAAAGAAACTTATTTACATTTGACTACACACGTGCTCTCACGGTCACATCCAAGATGTGGTGGAATTTAAAAGTTGATTGATTTAATCAGGTTAATCAAACACTTCCTACCTGTTTTTTTTTCTTCCATTAAAACAACTTGAAAATTTGGTGGAATATGTGACAGTGTTTAAAAATACAATACAAAGAGAAAAGGAATAATAAACAACAAAGGGATCTGCTTATGGAATAAAATTAAATTTCTGAATATGAGTTTTTGTTCTTAGAAGTTTTTTATTGTTAAAATTAAGCTTTTCAATGGAGGCAATATATATTTTTAGGTCAGTTTCTTTAAAATTATTAAATGAGGGTATTTTTTCATTCCACTTCATTTTGTGTATATATTTTGTTATGATTATAATTAGATTTATTATAAATAGTTCGTCTGAAGAAAAGAATAAATCATTAAAGATGAGCAATATTTGCATTTTTGATAACACGATGTACTTTAAAAAAAATTTCAGTAAGCAGTTTTTGTATTTCAGACCAGAATATTGTAGTGTGAAAACAATCTACAAATAGATGTTTGATACTTTCAAAAGAGCAGCTTTTGCTGACATTTGGGTAGAAACGGCAAATGTAGTCTTTAACTGGATAATATCTATGTAAAATTTTAAATACAAATTCTTTAATTCTATTAGATTAAATATATTTATAAGACAATAAGAAGATTTCACTCAATAGTTTATTGCCTAAGTAGCCCCATCTATGTTTACTTATGGGAGTAGAGAAAGTAACTAACTTAGATCTGATAAACCTGTTATTAAAATTTTTATGCATTATATTAGTACCTTCAATAGAAACTGAACCATAAAAGTACAATTCGTCTAAATGTATGGTTTGTGCTAGTGCATGTAAGTTATGAGGAATAGAATTAATGACCAAATCAAATTCTTTTTGAGATATATCTATATCATTAATGTTAATAAAATTCTTGTAAGTATACCATTCACCATTAATGTCAAGTAACTGCTTTATCAGATAGATATTTTTGTTAGCCCAATTATGCAAGTATAATGATTTGTTTTTATATAAAATATAAGCATTATTCCATATGATGCAGTTATGAGGGGAGTAATTATGTTTATATAGCAGAGTCCAACATAAGAGAGCCTGTTGATGGAACTTCGCTAACTTGATTGGAAGTTTTCCAACTGAGTAAGGGCAACGCAACAAAAAGTTAATACCCCCCAATTTATTAAACAAATAATTTGGGAAAATATTCCACATAGAATTTAAATTTTTTTAGGAATCTTTTAATCCAGTTAATTTTTAAAATTTGGTTTAAAACAGAAAACGTCAAAAATATTTAAGCCTCCTTCAAATAAAGAATTTGAGAGAACAGATTTTTTTTAATTTTATGAGCTTTACTTTCCCAAAGAAATTTGAAAAGAATCTTATCAAGTTCAGAACAGAGCGCCTTACTGACCTAGAGATGAAAAAAACATGAGACGCCCTAGACATCCCCTCTGCTTTGCTTAGTAGCACTCCACCATAAATAGTTAAATCCCTGGCTGTCCAACTATTAAATTTCTTTCTGATAGATTCATAAACCGGGTTAAAGTTATTACTTATTTTACTGTGATCTATTGATATTTTAATACCTAGATAATTTTACAGTGTTTTTTACAGGGATACCACAGACTTCAGTAATAGCAGTAGTAAATAAGGGAAGGATTTCACATTTTTTAAGATTAAGTTTCAGTCCAGAAATGTTAGAAAATTTGGATATAATAGATAGAGCTACAGGAACTTCACTATAATCTTTTAAAAATATCGTATCATCGGCGAGTTGCGAAATTTTAAGTTCTTGATCAAAAATTTTGATTCCTTCAAATGAGCTCTGTCTGATTTCAAAAATTTTGATTCCTTCAAATGAGCTCTGTCTGATTAAATAGTTTAGAATTTGGCCTTTAAGTAAAAATATGTAAGGGGAGGCCGGACAACCCTAACGAACTCCTTTATTGATATTGAAACGACTAGAAGTGCCATATGAAAGTTTAATAGAGCTATTATCTCTGTAAAGTGTCTTAAAGGCTTTAATGAAAAAATTACCAAAATTAAAAAAAGATAATGTATCAAAAATGAAGTTGTGACTAACAGTATCAAAAGCCTTCTGAAAATCCAGGAAGAGAATAATTGGATCACCAGAGATGACATCTTTATAATCAGCTAAGTCTAGCACTAAACCAATGTTATCAGAAATATTACGCCCAGGCATAAAGCCGTTTTGAGATTCATGTATTAACTCGTTCAAGCTATTTTTCAGTCTTTTAGCTAATATACATGCCAAGATTTTATAGTCATTATTTAATAAAGTGATACCACACCAATTATCTATTATTAACTGGTCTTTATTTGGTTTGGGAATCTGAGTGATGAGACCCTGTTTCATTGATGTCGGTAATTCTTCATTGTTAATAGATTCACTGTAAAATGCCAGAAGAAATTCAGAAATTTCAGACGAGAATTTGTGATAGAATTCTGAGGTCAAGCCATCGTCGCCAGACTTGTTAGATTTTAGGTTTTGATGCCCCATTTTATTTCTAAAATACAGAGTGCATCATCACATTCCTCTTTTAGAGAGTCATTAACTTTGTTTACCTCTACTAATGAGTTTAATAAACGTGCTATCCATACAGCCATCGTTTTTATACAGATCTCTATAAAAATCTGACACACATTTTGAGATTAGAGTAATCCTCAGTTACATTATCATTTATATTTAGTTTCGTGATTTCCATGCTGGGCAGCACGGTGGCGCAACTGGTAGAGCTGCTGCCTCTCAGCAAGCAGGTCCTTGGTTCAAACCCCGGTCCAGGGGCCTTTCTGGGTGGAGTTTGCATGTTCTCTCCGTGCATGCGTGGGTTTTCTCCGGGTACTCCGGTTTCCTCCCACAGACCAAAAACATGCGTGTTAGGCTGATTGGTAACTCTAAATTGTCCCTAGGTGTGAATGAGAGAGTGAATGGTTGTTTGTCTCGTTTGTCTCTATGTGTCCCTGTGATGGACTTGCGACCCGTCCAGGGTGTACCCCGCCCCTCGCACAGTGATTGCTGGACATGGGCACCAGCGACCCCCGTGACCCAAAATGGAATAAGCGGGTAAAGATAATGGATGGATTTCCATGCTATGTTTCTTTTTTCCATATTAAAAAAAGTATTTACTGTTTTTTTTCCACCTTCCTCAATCCATTTTAATCCAGATCGAATGAAAGCACCACGTGCTTTTTCTTTATATATCTAATCTAATTCTTCTTGATAATTTTGTAGTTGTGTTACAAGAACTTTATCATCTGATGTAATGGCAGTAATGTTTGAGATGGATCTAATGAATTGCTCTAACTTTTCTCTATTTTTTTTACGTTTTAATCTTTTACTAAATTGGATCGCATATTTTCTAATTTCATATTTGAGTAGTTCCCAATATTTCCCAAACTTGTTCTTATTTTGAGCAATTGTCCAATACTGTATCCTGATGCATGCTCAATAATCCAGGTACAAAAATCCAAAAAAGTTAAATCTGGTCCTCTGTACATTGTTTTTTGGAATGTCCAGAGGACCAGATTAAATTTTTTTGGGATGTCCCATACTGTGTGATTAGTTTTTGAATACATAATGTAAGTTCTGTATTATTTAGTAGTGAGTTGTTAAGTAGTAGTTATAGACTCTTCTACTCTCCTTATTGGAAAGATTTAATTTCAAAGAAATGGTTTAATGATCAGTTAAAACTGCAGGGGAATTTTTTTACCTCTGTTACTTGTTTCTCCAGTTCTTCTGAAATAAGCCATAAGCCAATTCTAGATTGAGCAGAAAAAGTTTTGTTACTCCAGGTGTATTGACTGCTGGAGGGATGATGATGTCTCCAAATGTCCAATAAATTCAGTCTGTTAGAAAAGTCCTTAAGAAGATTTTGTCCTGTTTTAGGTTTACTGTAGAAAAACTACAGGAAGAGGAAGCGGAAATGGTTTATTCAAAGGTCACTAGGAACGCGCGGTGGCAGCCGGGACATTGGCGGACTGTGTGCCTGCGCTGAGCAAAGCTGCATGTCCCCAGTGTCCGCTCCGGTCGCCCGGTTAGGAATGCGTTTCACGTAGTCGCTGTGTGGTGTAATATTTGATTAAACACCAGCAGAGACCGCGCTTCGATACGAGTCATGGTTTCGCGTCCTTTGTACCTTTAGTATCTTCGCGCGCGAGCTTGATTCATTGAGCTAGCTGCCGTTAGCCCGCTTCGTTGATTCGTAGCACGCGCTAGTCAGTGGAGCTACTTCGAAGCTGCGCTGCGACCAGGAGGAGACGACTTGACTGCTGAACCACAGCCGGCGTTTGTGACAGGAGGAGGTGGTGTCGGTGGTGGGGCCGGGAGAACGCGACGGGGTGGAAGTGAGTCAGGAGCGGCTGATGAGTTCAGACCAGAGCGGAGAGCCGCCGCTGCTGCAGGAGGAGGCTGATCCCGGACCGAAGAGCGGTGGGAAGGACGAGGCTCCGCTGGGGAGTGAGGGAGGCTCGAGCGGCATGGTGAGTGAGGCCTCATTTAGCTAGTTAGCTAAGTGGCTAAGCGACTTCTGCTCACCAGAGACCTATTTGCTCAGTACACCCCCCTCTCTGCGGGATGAGTAGTATTTATCAGACGAGCTAACCCAAAGAATGCGAATGCCTCACTGAGTAATAATTAGCCCAATTTAGACTTTCTGACTTTATGTTGTGACAACAGGCTAATCTGCAGTTAGTTCAAGCGAGTAAAATTACGCGCAGTTGACTAGCCGTGGCTCCACTGCTAACTCTGGCCACTACACCAGGCACGCTTATTAAGTAGTTTGCTGAGTAATCATTAGCTTGGAAGTAAAGTTTTGACGCAGCTATATAAATACAAGAAACGCTTTTCGGAGCAGAACGTTACTTATTCAGTTTTTTATTGGTTTGTAATCCACAATGACTGTCGGCTGATTGAAAGACGTTCATTCACTGTAATGTTCTGTGTTGGCTAAAAGGCGGTGGTGGCTAACTTAGCTGGCGCAGTGACATGCTTTGGAAATACCTGGCCTGTGCTGCGCAGCGCAGTCAGCACTTGGTCCTCCTCGGCCTGTGACACACAGGCACGCTTTCTTTGTAGCTCTGTGTCAAGTTGCACGGTTCATAAAATGTCCCTGCCTGTATAAATGACAGACCGAGGCCGATCTGTTTGGTGCATCTTTTTCTTGACTGTCTGGGGTGCAGAGAGAAGTGCTTCAACAACAACAACAAAAAGACTGCAGGGTCTGTTAGCAGGTGCAAGTGACGATGTCAAAATGGGAAGCCAGTAAAAGTGACAGTTACTGACGTTTCAAAAGTTGGTGTAAAGCTGTCATCCACTTCTCAAGGGTACACAACTCCATCAGCAGTTTGTCCACACAAATATCATTATTAAAATTATCATTTCATTTTGCTGTGACAGGAATTACAGTACAGAAATTTTGTAGGAAAGTGCAACTGTGTAAACAAATAGCTAAAATACAAAAATAAAAAATACAATATAAGTGGATTCTGAATTTAAAAAAAATGCAAGTAAATATGCAAACAAAGCTTGGATTTATATAATCAAACCAGTATTTGCCCATTTTTTTAGTAGCTTGAACATAATCATACTACAGATGTACTCTTATTTTTTTTATTTTGCAATCAGCTTTTCTGATAACATACTTATGTTATAATGCCTGCATGTCGCCTAATGGTAACAGTGCCTTTGTTTGGTAAATAACTTTTTGTTTTTTACATTTTGAATACAGCAACCTTTTTCAATTTAAGTAAATCACACTTAAAAACAAAATCAGCTAACAAAATTAATCTTGTAGATTTGTCAGTAAAATGTTAATTTGCACATACATGTTACAGTAATGTTGAAAACAAACACTGCAAGCCTAATTTGTACAAGACACTGCAGTCTGATATGCATATATTTTTTATGAGTGTTTTAATTTTATTTTATTTATTTCTGACAACCCAGATATTAAAACGTCTAGTCAAAATGTTACATTTACTGTTCAAACTTAATATTTTTGTTCTTTTTGTGGCAAGTTGAGCAACTTTTTAAACTAGTTTTTGTTTGCTTCCCCGGCAAAAAGTTCATTTACTGGTGCATCCCCAAAATTTAGAAATTCATGGGGGGAATCATTTGTTTCACAAAGTGAAACTCTTATATTACGTAGATTCATTTCACATTGAGTGAAATATTTCAAGCATTTATTTCTGGTAATTTGGATGATTACAGCTGACAAATAATGAAAATAATAATAATTTGGTGTAAGAAAATTAGAATAGCCAGCTTTTGGTACCTTTGGCAGCAGCGTGTGCAGGAGCCAAGTCCTGCTGAAAAATGAAATCAGCATCTCCATAAATCTCGTCAGCAGAAAGAAGCACAAAGTGCTCTGAAATGTCCTGGTAGATGCTGTGTTGACTGTGGACTTCAGGAAACCCAGTGGACCAACACCAGCAGAGGACATGGCCCCAAATCATCACTGACTGTGGAAACTGCACACTGGACTTCAAGCAACGTGGATTCTGGGCCTCTCCACTCTTCCTACAGACTCTGGGACACTGATTTCTAAATGACATGCAGCAATGACTTTCATTTAAAAAGAGGACATTGGACCACTGAGTAACAGTCCAGTTCTTGTTCTCCTCAGTCAGTTAAGACACTTCTGACATCTCTAGTTCAGGAGTGTCTCGACTTGAGGAATGAGACATTTGTAGCTCATGTGAGGAGTTAAACAGCTGATTAGGGTGTGACACCATAAGTTTAAAAATATTGAATCTCTTCTTAAATTTCTGAGACTGAATTTTTTTTTTTAATTAACTGTAAGCCATAATCATCAAAATTACAAGAAATAAAGGCTTGAAATATTTCACTTTGTGTAATGAGTCTATACAAGTTTCACTTTCTGAAATGATAGACAAAAAAATACATTTCACAATATTCTAAATTGTTTAGATGCATCTGTATACAAGAGAATGCACGTTACTGGTCTGCGAATAGCTATGATGGCAAATCGTTTTTGTGAACAAAATGATAAAAACTAGATGTTTTTTTGGCATCTAACCTTGATTACTGACAGCATATTTTCCACTTGTTTCATACTTTATTTATCATTTAAAAAACTTTATGGCTGGAATACAAACATCACTCTACTTTAAATATAGACATGAGTTGTATCCTGATCCTGCATTTTTTTCTTTTCTTTTGAAGGTCACCTCAAAGGGTGCTGGTTTGAACCCAAATGCCAAGGTGTGGCAGGAGATCCCTATGGCCCCCAGCGAAGCTGTTCCCAGCAGTCCTCATTGGCCTCCCGCCGACATCAGTGAGTGTGCCAAACCTTTCCATGTTCAAAATAAAACAATTTCAACCAAAACTTGCATCAAATTTTACAACAAATTACTTCACTTTTTGTTGTGTCATGTTTTTAGTCAACTTTTGTAGTCTTCCAAATTTCAATAATGGTTGTTTTGGATGTTTTTAATTGACAAAGTGCTAAATTTCATCAAAAGTTAATTTACCTTGTGGACAGGTTATTCAGAAACTTCATCATCTGGGTGCAAGCAGTACACTGTGGGATACACCACCCTGGGTGACAGCGGCTCCACAGCAACAGCTGAGATAGCAGTAAATGGAATGGACCCTCAAGAGTTGGGCTTTTCCCCCGCTGAGTCCACGACGGGGAGCTCAGGTCAGTCATGTGGCCTCACGTGCTGTCATCTTCACACATGGCTGCTGCTCAGGAGATTGTGCTGCTCTTAATACATTAGAAAGAGATAAGGATCGATTAGGATAGAAAATGTCACATACAGGGTGTCCTGTGAATTCTACTATACAGTACTAATGTTTGAACATCTGCAGATGAGATCAACAGATCACCTCCTAGCCTCATATTTGATCCAAGTTAAATTTGTCTTATAGCCTTGTGAAACATGTGTACACAGATTATTTGGTCACACCTAACCCACACAGCAGTTTATTTCACCTGAGAAAACTTGAACTGGTAATGCTGTTGAACCGTAAATCTAGTTGCTTCTTTGTTAAAACTTAAAAGTTTTTCAACATGTTTGCTCCTGTTTATGTACAAGGAGAGTTTAGAGGTTGTTTGAGAGGAACCACCTGTATTGTTTTCAACCTATAACACTGTTTTAGTAGATTGACGCTGTTGTAGCACTGTAGCTTCCTAAAATTGTTTTTATTGGGTTGTGCTATGTGATGACAGTTTGCGCGTCAAGGAAAGCATGAGCTGGGTGAGTTCTCATAGAGGCAGCAGTCAAAGTTCAACTTAGAGGAACTTTGACCATTGTATGATGTGATGAATGCTCACATTACCAGTAGAAACAAGCCCTCCAGCCAGGCATGGAAGGTAAAAACCACTGAACTGATGTCTATTTTCCTTCAGTTGCACACAGATTTTCATTTGTTTTAAAGCAAATATCATGTTTTATATCCAATTTGAAGTTACATTTACAGTCAATCACCTATTTCTAAATATCATATAAAATTATTTCACTGGACGTTTCAAAAACTGGGAGTGCCATCTTGTGGGAAATGTGCTTGTGCCTACTAGTGAAGTTACCTTGTTATGGTTTGCTAAATGTTGATCAAACTCAGTGTGTGTGTGGGGGGGTGGGGGGTGGGGGGGGCAATGAATGGTGGCAAAGAGTAAAAGGAGAATATGAACCTTTTCTGGGACAAAATTGCATAGCAGTTCTAAGGAATGACGACAAAACCAGATGCTTTACTGAATTATAGCTTTTACATTTACTCAGTTTTTCTTAGCTCAGTAGTCTCCAACTTTTATAATCAAGAGCCATTTCTGCCCCTTTATGCACTAAATTAAACCTATCCAGAGTTTGAACAGAAGCTTGAAGCTTTAATTAAAGATAACACAGCTAATTATTTTGAGAAAATACTGAATATAACATCTGGATACATTTTACTTGATACATTTTATAATCAAAGAGCTGTAATAATCACACCTTAAGCAGCATCAGATCTGCCTTGAACAAATTGTGTTAATTTTTGTGTCTAATGTCCTGTTCAGTGGTGGATAAACTTGTGTAAAATTATTATTTTGGACAGTTCACTCATCATTTAAGAAAAATAAAACATAGTTGTGCAACAGATACAGTTCGTCATTTGAGGATGTAACATTTGTAAACAGAATAGCGTCAAGCCAACAGTTATTTAGTCTAAAAACATCCAAGCAGCAAACATACAAACTGCTGTTTCACAAAAAAACACGAGCAGCACATCTAAAACATCGGAATAAACACTGGTAATTGTGTAATCGGCTGCGCACATCCATCAAATTGATGTGGTTCAGATTGTGACTAAGCTACAAATGTTTGTGGTCATCATCAAACGGGGTATTTATTTCTTGATTGTTCCTGAACATTTTTATTTTTATGCATCCAGACTCTAAAACTGAAGAACAACAAATCTCCTCTGAGAATCTACGAGAGTCTCTGAAAAAAGAGCTCGAGTTTTATTTCTCTAGGTAAGAGCACGACACTCTCAGCACGTTTTAAATTTGTGATTTAAACTGTGGATTCTTGTTTCTAGAATCAAGGGGAGGCTAAATTTGTACGGGTTTTGTTCTTCAGAGAAAACCTCTCCAAGGATTTGTACCTCATGTCTCAGATGGACAGCGATCAGTTTGTTCCTATTTGGACTATAGCCAGCATGGAGGGCATCAAGGTCCTTACCACTGACATGGACCTCATCCTGGATGTGTTGAGATGTAAGTCAAAGGTTAAGAGTCATGCATAGTAAAACTATTTGCACATACAGATTAAATGCATTATATTCTTTTATCACTCTTTAGCCTCTCCTATGGTACAAGTGGATGAGAAGGGGGAGAAGGTACGACCTAATCATAAGAGATGCATTATCATCTTGAGAGAAGTCCCTGAAACGACACCTGTTGAGGTAACACTAAGTTTATTCACACACTTATTGGAAGTGGGTTAAAGTTGAAGTCCTACTTAAAGTGAGATAATTCTTTGTACTTTGTTCACAGGAAGTTGAGTCATTGTTCAAAAATGACAATTGTCCGAAGGTGATAAGTGTTGAGTTTGCGCACAACAACAACTGGTACATCACATTCCAGTCGGACACGGATGCTCAACAGGTAACGTCACTTCCTCGTTATGGTCAAGTGTTAATGTTAAAACTCAGTGGAACGAGTCACAATGAGACTCTTCTATTCTTTTCCAGGCATACAAGTACTTAAGAGAGGAAGTAAAAACATTTCAGGGAAAACCCATCATGGTGGGTAAAAAAATAAGTTGTTGCTTTACAAATTGTTCTTTTATATTCTTATGCATTTTCCTCCTTGTTTTTTGCTGACAGGCCAGGATAAAGGCCATCAACACGTTTTTTGCAAAGAATGGGTATCGTAGTCTGGACAGCAGCCTATACACTCAGCAGTCTCAGAACCAGTCCCAGTACAGCTCCCCACTCTACATGCAGCACATGTACCCCCAGCAGCAGTACCCCGTTTATGGCATTGTACCTCCCACCTGGACACCTACACCCACACCCTATTTTGAAACCCCTCTGGTAAGAATATACCAGAAAAAAATGTCATACATGTGGTAACTGTTTGTTCTGCAGATGTTAGTTTTTGTTAATGTGTTTTCTGAGTCTCGTCTGGGTCCAAGTTGCATACATTTAGTTTACCACCTATCTAATCTATTTATACACTTCTGTAAAGTTATGAAAAAAGAAAAGTCTTTCAAATTACATTGGACCGAAATGTACCTTTCCTAACTGCTGTTAAGTTTAATTAAAAAAATAATAATTAAAAACAGCTGAAAAACGCTGCATATTTAAGAGGGATGGCCTAACAATAACCTCAAGCATGTGCTGCTCAAAAGCAGAACTATTTACTGATTGTCACTTCAGTGGTGGCTGTGGCTGAGTGGTTAGAGCAGTCCTCCTCCAACGTGAGAGTTGGGGGTTCGAATCCACCAGCAGTCGCATGCTGAAGTGTCACTGGGCAAGACACTGAATGTGTGTCCCATCATTGTATGAATGTGATCTAAAGCACTGATTAGTCTCTTTAGAATGGTTTGTTTAATTAGCTTTGTAGAGATCTAGAGTGCTGTATGAATGGGTAAATGAGGACACAGATTGTAATGTAAAGCACTTTGAGTATCTTGAAATAAGATAGAAAGGCGCTATACAAGTAGAGTCCATTTACCATAAGTAAATTCAGATTCCCTATTTTTGACAAGGGAGGAATTTTGCACAAACATGGATTTTCCAAGATTACTTATAGCAGACATAAAGCTTTTATTTTGACACAGTTATGACCTGCAGCGATAATGGCTGCAAGAATTTGTTAGGATTTGTAAAGAATCTGCTTTTTTTTCCTCCGAGCAGGCGCCATTTCAAAACAGCAGTTTTGTGAATGGATTTGGCGCTGCGGGACACTACAAAACAAGCTCCGCCGCTCTTAACATAACTCGCCCATTCAACAGAAACCGGTAAGTTTATTTATTAATTATTTTTTTCATCAAATCTGAGTTTGCCTATCTCATAATACATTCTGAAGATGTGATGTATTTACCGCTTGTGTTGTTGTTTGCATGCTAAGTTAAATTGTTCTCGGCTCATCTGCAGTGCAGTGTTTAAAGATAATGTAACTCCACCAGGGAACTGCTCTTCACTTCAGGTTTTCTTACTGTCCCCACAGTGTCCCTCTCTATTCAAGAAAGAATGTAATAAATGCTTTCAGGTACCATTATTATACTGTATATTACTGTATTATGCTGTATATAATGAGCTTCATCGTTACACGTTTTACCATACTGCTGCCAAAGTGACTAAATCCATAGCTGGGCCAAGCATTCTGGCAGTCAGTTTTATTATTTTAAAATCATTTTCATTGTTGAAAGGATGTTTGGTGCTTTTTAAGACATTCTGGGTTTGTCATGTCATGATAAATGCCAGATGGAGTTTGATTTTGAGTAGCTAAGGGTTCTCAGCTCCAAACACATCCTTTTTGCGTTGATATTAATGCATATGTCGCATTAACTCTACCCCATCACTGCTTACCTCCCAATTTTTGATCTTGCTGCCATTGCTTTCATCAGCCTAATCCATGTGGTGCTATGTGCAGTAAAGGAAAAGCTGATGCGTTAAGAGCTGGTGGTTGTTCACCTCTTCTTAAACTGAGATTACGTCTTGTTTGTTCAGAGTCGAAGCAAACCTGAAAGAAATAATTCTGACCCGATGATGAGATCATGATGCGCATAGAGGGAAAAGGGGAGGAAGCAACTAGCTTTGGTTTTCTCTCTTTCCTCCTCCTCCTTTCACCTCTGTTCTTCTTTTCAATGTTGGCTGCTGCACTCCCTTCCCAATGAGCGTTCAGATTATGAGATCTGAGGGTCAAAGACATATGAAGAACAGTATTTGTAAATCATTCAAATTGTTGACAAAAATGCATGTACAGTTCATAACTGGTGTTATCCTGCTCGTTGAGTTTGATTTGTTGCCGTCTTTCATTGCTTCAACCAACTGTGCACAACTGACTCCAAAATCCATCTGCATGTTTGCATTTAGTCTAGTAATCCAGCATGTTTTGATTTATCCAGAAAACTTTTCAATTTTGTTGGATTCTCCCAGTGACATTTTTTTTAATCATTTGCATGTGCAAATGAACATGTTGCACATTTTCTGTACTTTGTGTAGTCACTTTTTGCCATTTTAATACAGTAATTCAACACATCAAAGCCATTATTTTAAATGAAAATCTTCTGAAAGTTTTCAAACTTTTTACTATACTGAAAATCTCTAAATTATAATAAATACATTGATTTAAAACACAAAGTTTTATTCAGACAAAATACAGTATCTGAAATGTTTTGTGACTATTCATTTTATAAAAGAAACCAGGAAATCTGTTTGACGTTAAATACATTTTTAAGGACCCTGGAAATATTTTAGTAAATTTAACATCCCATGACTGCTTCCCCCACCATTAACCAGGACTGCCCATGTGTGTCATGATCATTTTAACTGAACGTTGTTGGTCATTTTCTATTTTTCTTTGTTGCAACAGAAACCAGATAAAGCCCCAAGGGAGATCGGCTGAGGTGTCGCCTGCATCTATAACGCCGGTCCCGCTGGAGTGTCTGGGTGGACTGCGCAGTCCACAACCTTCAGTTGTAGCTGCTGCTGCTGCTAACCCAATCCAAACAACCTCCGACCCTGCATTCTCACAGCTCTCCTCCCCTTCCTCGTCTTTGGATCTGAGTGATGACACGGGCTCAGCCGGACGTGGAAGGTAAATTTTAACTTAGATATTTCTTGTTGTTTTTTTTTTCTCTACAGTCAATTCAAACAATTTTTTTATAAAGGAAATGTGGAGCTAATTAAAATTAATAGTTTGCTGCAGTTTGGTTTTATGAGCGTTTTATCAGTGTTGATCTGTATGCAAAGAGATTATAATGAACAAAAGGCTCAGAATGAGACCAAATTAAAGGTTTGAGTAATTAAAGCTTTTCACATTTCTGCACAAGTTGATTTGGCCATTCACTAACTGCCTTAAAGAGTTGGCTGACTTTATTAAAATATGTGCAAATGTAAGAAATGAGAGAAGCTAATTGATACCAAAATGAAATGTTGATCAGCTGTGGGTTCAGGTGAGGAGTTTGTCTTTGACAGAAAAGTCCATAAAACTTTGTCTTGAATTACTGGTATTTTGAGAAACAGCCTTTAATGACACATCTCAAGGCATTGTTTGTTTTATGTAACTTTATTTGTCTTGTAAAAAAAAAAAA